CTTAAGAAAGGAAATTCCACCTCTTCAGCACACAGGGCTTTAACCCCTCCTTTACAAAGCTAAGTATGGTCCCTGCTGTCAGGTTCTCGGGGAAACACGTATTTGGGAGATTTCTGCACCACACCAACCCATGCGGAATTTAGAGTAGCACTCTAAGCTGATGAATCAAATGAAACGCAACTCAACCTCAGTATGAAAAGCCGTAATGAAAAGAAATCTGACACCAAAGGATGACTATGAGAATATTTAAAACATTTTTCAGCTCTGCTGCTGATTTACAGTACAGCTCGGGCTCATGGCATTTTTTACACCACAATAAAGAGTCCTCCCAGTGAGGGACCATTTCAGCCACAGCACATCCCTGGTGACGCCAGCAGGTGCCCAGAGCCGACCGCCTCCGGGGCTCGGGCTCACGATCCCTCCGCTCCGTGGGTATCGTTCCACGCACATGGAGGACCGGCAGGGACAAGGAACAAGAGCAAGCGGAGACGGTCTGGATAAGAGAAAGAGTAAGGAAGAAGTTCTGAAGCCAACAGAGAGAGGCTGTTGCGAGAGAACCAGGACTGGGCAGCAAAGCAAAGGCCGAGCATGCCAAGGTTTAAGCCACTTATAACCATRTAAGTCTCCATAAGTAACCATTTAAGTCTCTTATAACCATATATGTCAGTGTTTCATCTATTTGCATGATGGCTAATGGGTATCTAACAATACTCCACAGCTCAAAAACATCATAGCTCGGCTGAAAGTGCATATTTTATAAATATTGTCTACTGCAGTAAACAACAATGCAGAAAACGCCACCTGGTAAGTGACACTTAGGTAGCTGGTGCCACCCTTTCGGTGAGCACAACGCTACGTGGGCAACAGACACAAAAGGCCGTCTAATGACAGTGCTTTGAGGAAGCAYCTCCTGGTCCCCATGCACGGTCCCCTGGCCAGGATGAAGGACCACGTGCAGCTTCCTGCGTTGCCCAGTTCAAGCTGCTCCAACAGCTACAGCAGATGCAGTTTGTCCCCGTTGCTCCCATCCCTTGCCTCTCCGTTACCTTTTCCCAGGCAGCTCCAACTCCTCACACCCGACTGTATTCAGGGCACAAACACCACGAGCATCTGGACTGGGAATTTGGAGTCACGCACAGAACACAACCTCATGGAAAATCTCAGTGATGAGCAGGAAAACACCACCTCGCATGGAAAGACTGGGTTTTATTCTCCCTTGTTGACAGGCTACATGTAAACCAGAGCTTGGGAAGCGACTGCCCACGAGTCACAGCATGAGATGGGCTGGGATCAAGAGCACCCCGGGGTGCAGCACCCACCTGCTGCACGGCCGCCCCGGGGAGCGACCCCRGCCCCGATGTGCTGCGGGCAGCGGCGCTTCACGGCTGCCCGGGTGACCAACCTGTCACCTTGGAGCATCCTTGGGGCGCTCTCCCTCTCCAGCTCTCATTTGTGCCATCGTTCCTCTGGCCTCCGGGCGCTCSAGCCTCCTCCTGTCAAAGAGGGAGGCCGGGCTCGACCTCGCAGCCCGGAGCAGCAGGTCCCCATCTCGGYGGTGCCGGCGAGCCGGCGGCGCGAGCGCTCCAGAAAACAAACATCCCCTTCTTTTATTAGCACCATATGGGCTGTGTTTTGACTAGGCGCGCTACAAGAAACGAAATACAGTGGAAATTCCAGAAACGAACCTCTTTGTTTGGCACGAGGCTGCCAGGGCTTCCTCCCGGCACCGTGCGCGAGGGAAAGGCGGGATGGGGAACGGCATCCGCGCGCCGGCATCGCCCACGGGCAGGCGGCGAGCGGCTCCCGGGACGGTCCCTGCACATCCCAGCACAGGCCCCAGCGCTCTGACAGCCCAGCAACTCCTCCTAAAGCTGCAGCCTTTCCATTAGCGCCGCTCACCCGCATTTTGATTAATGCCGTCTCTGCTAAGCGTAAGCAACAGGCTACCTCTCAACTTCTGGGTCCTCCAGTTTTGACGACAGATATTCCCTGCAGCCATGAGATTAATCAACAAAGTTTTAATAAAGAAGACTGATTACTTTCTTGATTGCTTTAACTAGATTTTTTTTCTCTCCTAAAAGCTTAGCTGAAAAAAATCACAATAATTAACAATAAAATTCTCCTCCCATCATGCTGTTTTTGCACAAAGGATGAGAGCAACTGCAAAGCCACTGCCTTCGAGACACAGGGATGTTACCAAAATAATAAATAAAAACGCACTTATGGGGCCTGTGTTTCCCTACACAGTCGCAAGCAAATCAGGAGATCCTGCCCATGTTGACACCTCGTGGGGCAGAGACACAGGAGCCCCAGTGGAGATTAAAAAGCCTTCAGAGAATCACAGTTCTAAGAAATTGTTTTCCTTGTCTTTTTTTTTTTTAAAGACCATTTTTCACCCCAGCTACGATTACGGCTGCCAGAAGCCAAAGCGCTTCCAAGACACCTTTGCACAGGAGAGGTGGAAGTTGCAGGCAGGACCTTGGAGAAGCAAACACACACGTGCCCCGCGTCGCTGGAAAGGGCACCTGGGCTAAAACACCCGGCCCTTTGCAAGGGGAGCCCCAAACCCGCTCGGGGAGCCCCACACCAGCCTCAGYAGCATCTCCTGCCTCGTGTTTCAAAGCAGTTTTGTTAACCCATTATTACAAAGAATCAGGGATTCAGATCAGAGCTGGCACATGAGCACGCACACACTAAGAGCAGTCCATTAYTCCAAGATGTGACCCGTGCCCCATATCAGAGCCTGTTTTGGGAAGGCAAAGAACAAGCACATCCAGCAAGCGTGCACAAGTACCCCAGTGCTACCAGGAATCTCCTTCCTCCTCTCTGGGACACACACAAAGGCATTAAGGGGACCGAGGAAACAGCATTTTCTGCCTGGTTATGGGGCAGATTTGGCTTACAGAAACTGAAAAGCAAGAGTGAGAGCAGGAGTCTGCTCTTTTTACCTGTTCACTCCTGTTTCTCTTCTAAAGCCTTGCCACAAATGTGTCTTTTTACTCGCTGAGTATTTTACAGATTTAGACATATTTAGTGTAGGTCTGGATTCAAGAGAATATATTCTTACCCCATCATTAAACACCATGTAACTGTCTAATTTTTAAAAGATCCATATGTAACATGTATTAATAGCACCATTCAAATCCAATCTGCCTTAAACCTCAGAAATGTTGTGTCTGGCAGCGAAACTGCTGCACATTTGTTCTTTATTTAATATTATTCACAAAGTCTTGGGCACATCAAAGTCTATTAGAAAAACCTGTCAGAGAAGATTGCGGTAATTGATTAACAGAGCAAACTTGGCCAGAAGTCCAAGCCAAAGCATGTACATCACTCTGCATTTCCAATTAGCGCAGACAAGGCAAGCAGATCCGAGAGCCTCTCGTGCCTAATAACAGGACTGATTTGCTGGTGCTCTGCAAGCTGAAGGACTAACAGCAGCTCTCACCTCTCCATCCAGCAACAGTGTGGGAAGGTAAAACATCCCAAACTCCATTAATTGGCCCGTCATGTTTGGCTGCAAGGGACAACAGACTCAGAACCCGGCTGCATTGATGAGTTCTTTGCAGTTTTTGTAACCTGTTACTCCTGCCTTCTCAGCGGCCCCGTTTGTATTTTGGTGACTTTTGTGTTCTCAGCACCATTTCCCCATTCCTCACTGAAGAGAGGCAAAACAAATATTATTATTCCTACCATCACGCTTGCTTCTCTCACCTTGGTGATTTTTGCATTAATGCTGGACTGAACTGGCTATGGCCCAAAGCAAGGCTGGGGCGATACTTGGCAGGATGCTTGAAAACTGGGTTGAGAAATGAGCAGCAGAGCCAGGAGYATCCGTATGGGGCAGCAGTGCAGAAAACAAAACCCTCGTAGAAACAGCAGCTCCRGGGTCTCTACTGCTGCTGCTGAAGGGGCTGCACGGGCTGCCCTTCTGCCTCATGTCTTCCTGTCCTCCTCCTTTCCCAAGTACCTCCAAGGCAGACACCGCTGGCCGGGACGCTCAAAAACCCCAATATTCAGATAAAAGGTTGCAAGAAGGGGYGAGGCGAGCGTGCTTCTTCCACGAGGGGAACTAAGAACAACCTGGGAAGTCGCTAAGAGGCTGTTAGTCATGGACAGATGTGGAAGGGGAGGTTTATTGACAACAGTGCAGTTATACTGACCCTTGGAAAGCTTGAGGTGAGGGGCTAGGAGATACAGCAAGGTGCAGCAGACCGAAGGCGTGAAATACTGCCAGGAGGGCTCTAGGGAAAGGAGCTGAAGATAAGGGGAAGATGCAAGCTGTAAAAGAGAGAGGAAGAGAGCAGTAAGACAGGAAAGCAGCAGAGGCATTAAAACCATCCCAGCACACACCGTGAGGATGTGAAAGGAGTCAGGGCTGCAGGACGGGGCAGGGATGGAGGGCTCTGCAAGGGAGGACGCCGAGGGCAGGAGCCCCGAGGGCATCGCGGTGCCCAGGGGCTCCATCCTGGGCTCCTGCCCCTCGCCAGGGTCTGTCCCTGCAGCGGCGGGCGCTAACGGAGCCGGGCAGCCCCTCGTGCCGAGCGCCCCGGGACGGTTCGGGTCCTGCCGCCGTGCACCCACGTCCTCTCCCCATCCCGGTTTTCCGTTTCCACCCTCGCTCACACAGGCGACCGGGCAGCAAGGGGCAGGTTGGGGCAGGCCAAAACCGAACGCGGGTGGAGCGGCATTGAGGAGAAGCTTTAAACCTGCATCTATGCCCAGGTCTAATTCCCCACACGGGTATTTGTGCCAGCAAAGAGGCCCGGGCCTCAAACTGACCATGCAAATGCAAAGCTCAAGGAAAAGAGGGYGAGACCTGCACAGAAAAGCCACTCTTTACAAAAACCCAACAAAAAAATAAGTTTTAAAGCAACATTATTTAACCTTTGCAAAGACTGCGGCCACTGGAGAGACTTTCCAGGTTTTACACAGGGGTCTCCTCCCTGCAGAGGGCTGAGCTGAGAGAAAATCTATATGCAGAGCTGCTGCTCCCATACCTGCAGGTCTGGATCTATATTGATCCGGTAAGCTTGGGCCTTTCCGTCTTCTAGCACRGGAGGTGACCAGGTCTTCCCTTCAGTTCTAAAACAGAAAATTAAAGAAGTTTAAAGCAAGTTTATTTAAAAAGAAAAAAAAAATCATTTCCATTCATTGGAATGAGCCCACTCATTCCAATCAGAAGGAATCTCTACTATCTCTCTACTGCATTGAGGTGGAAGTAGAAAATCAAAAGCTCAAAATAGAGCACTAATTACTGTGGTTAATCTCAACCTATGTGCTCAGCACTTAAGGAAAACACATGGCATTCTTGTTGCACCAGTACCCGCTGCTTGCAGTGGTCAGGGATCCCTTCTCTGGACTCTGGCCCCTGCCACACACGTTCAACCGGGTATTAATTATCTGCAGACTCCAGGCTCCAGAGGAAAAAAGCCAGATTTTAACACAGGAATCACCGATGCAAATGTTTACCTCCAGTATTTTGCATTTAAGCCCATAAATGCATTAAACCTTCACAAATTAGGACATGACACAAAGCTCATTAAAACTAAAGACTCCCACTGGATTTAATGCACTTTGGCCCTTTGTKCTTCTGTTTTTCTGAATCACCAGTTGCTACCACAACCACAGTTTAATGACAGTCACAGCTTTTTCAGTAAGGAGGAACTCATTTTCCGTAGCTTGTCTTGTTCTCATAAACCACCTTTATTTTGGAATTATCTAGGCTTGGGGCAGGGTTCTGCTTTTCAAGTTTGCCTTCCACWTTTTTTTTTTTTTTTTAAATTGGGATACAGGAAACCAATCTTCCCAGAAATGACACCACCGCTAACAAATCTAGGTTGATTTTTGCCCTGAGCTGCTGCTGTATGCACTGCTTCCACATCAAGAATTTCATCTGGAGTGCAGAACAATGGGAATGCCTAATGGCATTGGCAGGGACTGCGGTTATTATTTCTGTGCTTTTCCCCCTTGCGCTGAATTAGCCCCACGTTTGCTCACACTCCATGAGTCCCACAGCTACGACGCTCTCGTCCCGCTCCGCTCCAGGGACCGGGTGCCAAACACAGTTTAAAAGAATCCCCAAAGATTTTAATTTGCCAGTAAATGAGAAAGGAAGAGTCATAAAATGCTTTTGATTCGAGAAGATTAAAACCGATGAGCAACAATAAATTCCCCTTGCATTACGCCAAGGCATCCAGCCCTCCGTCACAGCCAGCGCTTCCCAGCTGAAGTCTCCCACTTTGCTGTTCCCGACAAACAAAGAGCTCACAGTCTGCACCAGAAAAGGTCTCGACTTGCTTTTCAAAATTATAGATTTCTTCCTGCTTTATGAAAGATTTTTAGCCACGTTTGCATGTAGAAACCCATTCGCAGTTAGGGCTTTTAATGATTAAACTCAGCGGCTGCTCCTCCCAGTGGCCCAATGCTGTTGTGTCGGTAAGGATGCAGCCTCGTCCCCTTTCCATCAAATCCCAGGGTCCGAACGGAGCCAGAGGGAGCTCCGCTGGGAAGGCACCTCCCGACCTGCTTTTACGCTATGGGAAGGAATCGGCTACATGGAAAGCAGCACCTTGCACCCAAAGTGCACGGCTTCGGGACAGTGGTGAGAAAGCAGCCTTCCTGGACAAGTGCCAGGCCTCCAACATGCAGCTTTTGGGAAACAAAACCTTTTAAGAAGGCATAATTAAAAAAAATAAAGAAAATTGCAGACTGCTTTTATCCCACAATTTGTTTTCTAAAAGCTTCAACGTCATTTTCCAAAGATTACTTGCATATGAGCAGGCGTTTTCCCWAAGTGTTTTTTCACCTGGTATTAATCTGGCCATCTTGCTCTCAAAATTTACAGAGCTACTTTTAAGTTGTAAGAATCCCTGCGTCTTCCCAAATGTCTAAATTCTCCATCCCCTTGTGAACTAACATCTAGTGCCAGGGCAAAGCGCCCAGGAGAACAGGTGGGAAGGGGACCAACAGCTGCACACAACGCCCAGGAACAGCCATTTCACTGCGTTTCACCCCAAAACCTTCAGCCACATCTGGGGTTGGTGGCTTTAGCCCATGCCCTGCAGACCACCCATCCCTGGTGACATTGCAACTAAGGCAGCGATTGAGGTGATCCCTGTTATTCCRATAGGGACATCAGCCTTCCAGGAGCAAACCAAGTTTAGAGGCAACCACAGCTGACATTTAGAGTTCTCCCAAGCCTAGAAGTAGCTACAGTTGATGTTTATAGTTCTCCAAAATTACGAGTTTCACAGCAGCAAGTGGAGGGCACTGGGTCTGTCCCCATGTTGGGGCATGGAGATGCCTTCAGACACTCGTCAATAGGTTAAGGCTCTGCAAAACTGGTGTGGAAGACATGTGGACCTGCCCTTAGCCAGCAGGTCGGTGCAGGGACTGCTAAGGAGCAGCCATGGGATTCCAGGTCTTCTTGGCTGAAGGAGGCCTGCAGCCGGCTCGGGAGAGCTGGAGGGCTTCCTTCTTTGAGCAGCTCCAGAGGGGAAGCTCTGGATCACTTTGCAGTCGTGCTGGGAAGCGGAGGATGTGCGTGCACACCAAGCTACCTTGGCATCCTTGCACACTGCAGGAATATGCACACGTCAAGAGAAGAGGCAGAAAAAGGGCCTTTCCTTCCCTATATGGAGCTTCTTCACATGCATAACTTGGAAACAGCTGCAAGACGGGAAGGGTCTCGAGTGAGGTTTTACTGCACGATGATCTTGATCCACACGTTCACATTATTTAAAAAWCCCAAGTCCCTCCAGGGGCTGGAGGCCTCCAGTCAAATAAACAGACTGTGATTAAATACCGGGATCTCCACGAGGCATTTCTGGGAGTAGTAATTCCAGGGTGCTTAAAAACAGGTCTCTCCCGAGCAGCTGCTTGTACTCTACCTGCCATCCCCTCTCCCTGCAAGGGAAAGGCAGCAGACGGCACTGGAACACAGGGGCTGCTCTATAAACCTCCCATCCCAAAGGGTCCTGCTCCATCCTCGCCAGTGCCATGCGTTACTTCCCCCACACAAACCGAGTGACAGGCACGAATGTGAGCTGTCCCCACTGTCCCCTTCACCTTGCAGAGGTGATAACTGTGACCTAGACATAGGTCCCTTCCCCTAGGGCCGCGTAGGAAGCGCCTCGTGCATCACCTCATTGAGCAGCAGCTGTGCAAAGCAGCTTTTCCCGAGCAGAGGGGGATCTGTTCCATGTCTGGATGGCTGTGTTCCCRGCTCCCTGCCCTGCCCGATGGAGCAGAGCTCCCAATCGCCCACCAACCGCAGCGGGGCCTGGAGCAGAGCCGCTAAATGTGGAACGGTGGTGAGAAACAGAGAGAGWGCCAGCCCAGGAGCACCTGAAGTCCTCGGTAAAGGTGAAAGTAGAGATGGAGAAAACATGCTTAAATATAGAGAAAGCAGGGCCAGGCTGGGAACTGAGAGCACCCTGAATGACAGACTCTTTTAGGGGTCCTGGGGAACCCTAACACATGGGGCAGCTGCAACATCCCCTTCCCAGCACATCTTCCCACCCAACCCTATCCACCCGCTTTGGGAAGGACACCCCCAACACCCCCTCACAGGGGACAAAGCTTCAGAGGAGCCTTCCCAGCCCCCTTCACCCTCGGGCACAGCAGGCAGGTCCGGGCAGTGCTGCCCAGGGCATCCCAGTGCTGGCTGCCAACGGGAGCAGCTTCCAAGACACCCGCACGCCTCCGTCGCACGCCCGGGGTCACCCCGCACTCAACACCYCTCTCCTGCACCGTGTGCAGCAAAGAGCAGCTCCAACCTAGTTCTATGGTTGCTTTGTTTGATGTATAACCAGATTTGAACTAAACTCTTCCCTAAAACACAGGGCTGCAGCATAGCCACCACAGATTAACATTTAAAGGCATTGGAAGGACTTTCTTTTATAGAWTGCACAGCAATATATAAGAACAGGGCAAGCTCTGTTATTGCAGCTGCCTTTGCTCCCGAGTACCTTGCATGCATTAGCCTGAATGCCAGCTCCTGCCAGGACAAGAAAGGGCTGATCAGAAGGAAGAGCCTGGTTTTGATGTGCAACTACTTGCTCAKGTGATAATGTCGCCGCAAAGAACCCAGGCTCCAGTTATAAAGGCAGCTATTATTTTATTGCTAATCCCTTGATAATGTTGCAAAACAAAGCAGCTTTTCATATCTMAGGTGACAACCATTTTGAGTCTGTTTTGCTACCAGTGCCCTCCAGACACAGCTTCATCTTCCCAAAAAGGACGTGAAGGACCARGAGCTGGTGACCAGGAGGCAGTTAATCAGGTCACATTTGGGGGCCTAGTTAAGGCAGTCTGAGCATCTTTAAGAGACTGCAGTGGCAAATGTGACACTGTTGCTGGTTACGACAGTGAGGTTGATTTCACAACCAGTCCAGAGAAACAAGAGCGCTCCAAGGAGATAAACGTTCCTCCAATTTCCCAGGAGGAGCATGCTGGAATTCTAGTGCAACTACTCCAAATACGCTAGGAAAAAATSCACTTCTCTTCTGCCAACACAGCTTTGCCTTTTGCACCTTGGATTTTTTCCTGCTGYGTCATAACTTAGTTTCTCCGGGGCTCATGCAACCAACTTCTTCCAAAACACAATGCAGCTTCCCTGCAGAAACCATGTCCAACRTGCTCCAACAGCTGCCCGCTGCCCTCGACTTCCCTTACGCTGCTCAGAAATCAGCTGTTCGCATTTGATCAGAAAGTCCCACGTTCTTTTTCTGCCGACTGACTTCAAAACAGGCCCTGTTGTTCAGCTGACTGGAGACAACCCAGCCATGGAACCTGCTCTACCGGCTCACGGGCACAYGGACCTGCAGAAACCTCCCGTCAGATGTTTCCTCCTAGGTAGGGAGAGATGCTGTCCCTGCTGCACAGGAGGGACTGAAATGCTCCTTTCCTAAGGAGAAATGACCYGTTCTTCTGGTTCGTTTTCCCATCAGTGCATCCATCTGTTTTACATGGATCTGATGCACCAAGTAGTCAACATCTCCCTCCAWCAAAATCAAGAAGGTTGATTTGGTTGATTGGCATCTCCAAAAAACCCACAGCGTTCACAGCAGGACAGTCAGGCCTGTCAACCAGCCCCTTTGGCCAGCACAGTAACTCTCCTTCTCTGTTCTTTCCTTCTATGCTATTCACCCGCTCTGATTTTCCTACTGAACTTTCTAGTCAAAGGGCATTTAATGAATACAGCTGGAAAACAAAAACAATCTTGTTACGCAGCTCAGTAACACATAATGTCAAGGGTTCCTCAGAAAGGGTAGAGGACGGAAAAACCCAAAGGGAAACAAGGCAGCGCTCACGGCCGGGCCCTGCGGGGCCTTGTCGGGCAAAACATCATTAGCAGCAGACCTTGCCAGCCTTAAGCAAAGGCCCACAACAAGCAAGCCCATTATTCCAAACGGATTTCACTGACAAACCACACTTATTTAAAAATAAGGCCCTCTTGTTGAGCTGCAAGACRTGTTTTGTGAAAAGAAGGCGCAGATCAAGGAGGGGGCCGAGGGGCCGACACATGAGCAGCCGTCACCCCGCACCGACACGGGCTTTCTGAGCGTTGAGAGGTGAGCTGGAGCCCTCGGCAGCTGCTGGACACGGGCACAAACACCAGAAAAGCCTCCGTGCAGCGTGGCCACCACCCCGCGCTGTCCTGAGCTCGTCCTTTCTTCCTAAGGCGGATCCTACGGGGCCATTCCCTTCCCCGCAGGAGGTGGCCCTGGATATGCTCTCAGCAACAGCGAACGGCTGGGCAGAATCGTCTGGAATTCAGCAGGTCACTCGGGAACAAGGGGGAGAAATCCAAGGATTGTGTCACCAAAYACCACTTTGGGCCAAACTAAAAATAGACCCAATAGAGTGTCAGTGCAGTTGCTTTTCTTACTGTAAAAGAGAAAGGAAGCTGCTCAGTTTTTCCCATGAGGGAGAGGCCACGCTTCGGGCTGCCAGCCTGCTCCGAGGACACTGCCTGGACCCACCTGCCTGCTGCAGAACCGACTGAGCCAGCTGCAAGAGCGCGTTCCCGAGCTGAACTGCCACGTACAGAACCGCTCCTGCCCTCACACTGCTGCCTTGATCTGTGCTGATTGCAAGCGAGCAGAGCATTTGAAGCCTTCACAAAAGCACAAGGTTCAAAACCTGACAAGATCACAGTCTTGTTTGCTTTCCTGCTTAGAAAAGCCCACCCAACCTCACCCACTAACCCTGCATCACCCCAAACCTGCAGTCCCCGACCAGCAGCATCTGCAGCAGAAGATGCATCACTCCTCTGCACACACTGCTAAATCCCAGAGTTCAAAATATTCCTCTTTGCAGGTAGATTTGGACAAATTCAACCACAATGCCTCGCTACGCCCTTATTATAGCTACTGTCAGCAAGGTTCTAGCACCACGATTTTTATTTAAACAAATAAGATTAGATCGATGCCTGCAGAAAGCTGTGAGAAAACCGTGCATATCCCACGTGCTTCCCGCTGATGTTCTTCAGTATGAGCATGAGTAGTCGACCACAGTTAGATGAAACCATCAGATAACCTGGCCCACGTTCATTGTGCTGCAAGGGCAGGATGCTGAACACGGACATACGGCTCTGACATGTGCACATCCACACAAAAAAGGAACATGGGAGGAAAAATCACCTACTGATTTCTATGGACATAGCTCAACACCAGACAAGCTGGGCTAAACAACGTGTAAAACTGCTCCTGAAGCACYGCACTTCCAGCACAGCACATTAAAATACAATAAAAACAACCTCTTTACATTAACACACCAGAGTAAATAAAGCTCAGAAACCACCAAGTTATTTTGCTGGATGGAAGCTGCTATCTTGGGACGCGTAGAGCAGACAGCCGGGTGCGATAGCATCTCTCGCTGTCTGACTTCAACTTGCCGCCGCATGTGATTTAGTGGATTATGTCCTAACCCCGACCCTGATCTGCTGAGTGACCTTGGGCAAGATCTCCTCCCCATCATCTTTTTCAGCCAGCAAGTGAGGTTAGCGATGGATAAAAAAASCCTTCAGGTCATAGATTTAAAAAATCTCTATAGAAAACCTATGTTTTTTTAAATTATTATCATCTTTAGTCATATCTGGCACATTCTGCTCCAGGCACAGACAAAGCTGGTTTCTGACTCACCAGGCTTGTTCCAGAGATATTGGAACAGTTTTGTTCAGCACTGAGTGTCAGTCAGTGATGCAACCTTGGATCCGACTCCAAAAGCCACATTTGTGGTAAAAATGATTCAATCTCCCTGAAAGYCAGTGGAAAGCAGAGCCTGCCTCCTGCTCCGCTACGGGAAACCATGAGAAGGGTTTCAGGGGTGTTCTTGCCCCTTCTGAAGAAAAAGCCTCTTCTGTAACACAGCCTGGGCTCAGCTTGGGCCAGGAATTTCAGACACTGCAACTCATGAAACACTAAGCATGAGATTAGGCTCCTGCTTCAGTTATGACAGTTCACCTTCCACGCTGGAGCAGGGCCCCGTGCAGCTCCAGTCTGCAATTAATTTTCTGGTCAGAACACTGAGTGTTTTTTAAAGGAGGCATAAACAGTTAGTGACAGCCCTTTATAGCAGGAAATGCCTTTTTAATCTGAAGTGGAAAACTGTATAAACTTATTTAAGCCTATAAAAGATAACACCAGCCATTTATGCACCTTATAAGGAACACTCATTTTGACTGAACAATTAGAGGAATTCGTGACTTGTACTAGAATTAGGGAGAATTAAATCCTACAGAAAGCAAAACAAATCTGCTCATGTAAATCTCTGCTTTGCTTTCAAATATTCCAGAAAAGYGTGAAGACTTGGCAGCACCTGCAAATGTATATTCACTGAAGAGACATATTTAGATAAATGAGATGGAAACTAATGGAACAGGAAGCTTCACCAAATCAGGATTTGAATCCCATCGCTTCTCTCACTCACGTTCGCGGGAATTCCAGTGACTTGAAGGATCTGATCCCACCTGCAGCCAGCATTAGCCTCACCAGGTACAAATGAGTATCCAAACAGATCAGTAAACTGGAGCTGCTATTCTATCGGTATTTTAAAAAGAATTTTTTTTTTGTTCTGTGTTTCTTTAAAAATAGACGATTACCCAGAGTACTGGGATGTATCCAGGACCAAACCTAATGACACATTTACCCCGGGGCCAGCTGCAAGCCTTCTGCAGTCATCCAAGCTGATACGATATGACATCAAATAAGCTCCAATACCGGCTCGCTGCGACGTCCTCCCTCCCCTTTACAGAGGGACATGCAGGCACTATTGCCAAAGCAGCACTGCGTGCTCTCCATGGGAAAGGAAAGCTGAGCTTCATGTATGTGCTCATAGTAGGAGTGGCACCTGAACTGCTCCATTAGGAATTCCTTTCTCCTCTCCCCTTGCCAGGATACTTGCTGACACAGAGATTCCAAGAAAACCAAGGAACAGTCTTGCAGAGAGCTCGTGGGGACCTCAGTTGGCCAACGCAGACATGGTACCTCAATCAACCGAGTGTCCAACAGCCACGTCACCTACCTGTTCACCGAGAGCAGCAGCTGGTCCATGCAGGCTTTGATCTTGTTCTGTGCTTCCAGGTGCGTCATGTGTTCTGTGCTCTCTCCATTGATGGCCAGAATAACATCTCCTGGGCACAGGTTGGCCATGGCTGCCTTACTGCCAGGGTTAATCTAGGCAGGGAAAAACAAGAGTTATTTAAAGGAACGTGCAGGCTAAAGAGATGTTTCTTGGTCAAGGAGCAGAGTAAATAGCTATTTATGGAAAAAAACAAAGCATTTTGCCTATACAGATGACATTATCCCAGCTAGCGTTCTTAGGATCAGTGTCCATTTTCTGAAGGCCATATTCAACAGCAATGTTAGGTACTGGCTGTCTTGATTAGAAGAGATTTCTGTCAATCTCAGCCTGTATATCAAATGCCCTCTTCAGATTTGGTCTCTTCCTTTAAAATAATAAATACCCTCCTTTAAGGAAGTTGTTCTTTAATTCCTTGCACTCACAGGCTTTGCAACCCAGCTCACAGAGCACACGAAACCCTACTTGTCTGGAGCAGAGCCGGACTTAAACCAGCAGCTGCCCCAACCCTTGCCTAGGAAACRGGGACATCCCACACCAGTATCCTCCGACCAGCAGCCAAATTCCTCATCTCATTCCAGCTTTGCATGGAATACCAGGTTCTTTGTCACAGCTCCACAGCTCCTTCCTACTGTTTTGGTAGGAATGCCAAAGTCCTATAAAACTCGTAGCTTCTTTCCTGTGGAACTACTGACAGGTCCAACCGCTTGTGGTTGGATGTAAGACCAACCCTGCAGCCTCTAACAGTTTCTTTGAAATGAGCCTTTTATTTACATCAGGCCAAATACATTGTTAATTCTTGCAATGATAATGCAAAACATGGCAATACATAAGCAGAACAGGTAAATGTGCCTTAATAGCTTAAAATCTGAATAGCTCCATGTTTGCCCTTGAATTTTCTCCTTGCTCAGAGCAATTAATGCTCTCTAACCAGCCACATGGACAGGACAAGACACAGCTGCGCCGGGGCCTCGCGAGGCTCCCCAGGACCTTGTGCTTAATCACCAAACCTCTTGGCAGTCACATTTTCTCATGGTTGGGCCGGAGACACACAGCCCCAAGCCAAGCCCAAAGCACCGGTTTAGCTTTACTTCCTACCATAGCTAAAGCTGGGCATCGCTCRCAGCCTGAAGTTACATAAACGGCCTGGCTGGCAGGTCGTGAGCCAGTTGTTATAAAACGACACTGTTGATTAAACCACCAAAACAACCCCCAAATGCCTCCACATTTGTAGGATCTTGGGCAAAGCTACTGGCCTCCAAGCGCCTTCCTAAGCGGAGGCGGCAGCCGGAATTAAGCCCTTTGTGGCGCTGTCAGGGCACATCAGCGCGCGCCGCTCGCTCCTCCAGGCTGGCTCCGGGCTGCTCCTGCCCCGTGCCAAACGGGAGGTGTTTGACACCACCAGTAGCTCAGGGCTGACAGGTGACACCAAGCACGTCTGAGGTTCAAACAGCACAACAACACAATGAATTCATGTCAGGACAACACAGCACCTCCAGAGCCCTGGGGGTTCCCAAGGGCGGCACTGGGGTCCCCATTGAACCTCTGCTGTGGATGGAGCCTTGGGGCATCCTGGCGCTGCTGCCCCTTGATCCACATCGTCCATGCGACGCAGCCTGGAGCTCTGATCCAGCCCTCTCCCTGCACTGAGCTTAACCAGATCTCTACTGGCTTGCAGAATAACTTATTCCTAAATGGGACTCTTAGCTGTTTCCTATTCTTAGTAACTGTTTTATTTCAACTTATTTTGGCAGTAGCGTCCACCAGAATTTTATGCTCTGCATGGAAGCAACCAAGGGCTCGGGATGAAGCTGCACTTTAAGATGTCAGGAGCTTGAGATACAACAACAGTGCYGTGCCGCCTTTGGAATCAGTAACACGCATCAAGTCCAAAGTTTATATTTGTTAGAGAATAACACTTACGAAAACCTTCACAACCAGTTGTCCCAACACGCAGTAGTGCAATGTCACCAATCCCAAGGAAGCCCAAGCCAAGAGCTAACCCCTGGAAACTGAAGCCCAATATATGAAGAGAGGTTTTGGCACAAACCCAGAGGCTGATTCTTGCCTCTGCTCAGAGCACTAGTCTGCTGTGACCGTAACCGGAGCACGTGCAAGGTGAAGGAAGAATGCATAGGTTTGAGAGCAACTGCATATATTTTAACTTAAAAACACTGCAAAAAATCTGCACAGAGTCAAGGAAGCTTTGCGCTCTTGAAATGGAGCCTGCAGCATTTTCAAAGGAATTCGTATTTAAGGATGGGATGGGCTTAAGAAAAACAGTAATAAACCTTTTTCTCTAAATAAAAGTTTTCTTTCAGAGCTAGGAATGAGCTGCGTGACACCAAGGGCGGACGAGCACTAAGACGAGACCCGGGGCTGGTGTGAGCGGCTCCGGGGCCGGGTGGCCCCACGCGGGCCACGTTCCCCATGCCCGAAGCAGGGAACAGGCTCCTTCCCCAGAGATGCCGCATCCCATCTGTGCCRTGTCCTGGCTTGTCCCAGTTGGAAGCTTCCCAGGGGCTGGGTGTTTGCACACTTGATCCTGCAGGGATGAGCAATGGGAGCAGCCCCTCCACAGCCCACTAGAACCAGGGTGGCCACCGGGTGCCCCGTGGTGGTTCCCACCCTGGGGCCAGGGCAAACAGCTGCCCAATTACTCAGGCAGCTGAAGCAACCACAGCACCTCCACCCGCTTTACCACTAGCTGCTGTTGCACCTCATCCGCATCCATTCGAACTCCCAATAGCAATTTTATGCTCCCTATCCTACCCTCAGTACTTGCCTTCTCAAATTCTCACTTGCCTCTTTGTAAATTTAAGAAATTTAGTGAGGTTGCTTATGTTCTCCACAATCAAATCCTTCTTCTTATGGCCACAAGTCAAAAAAAAACCTACAGATTTTTACTAACCTATTTTTTGTATAATCACAATAATAATTTGTCTTACAATGCACCTATTTGGAAGGAGCACGGGATACCAATGTTAAACAGCATCCCGAGTACATTTGTACTGTGGTGGTGACGATTCTTCAATTCCCATCCAAAGCTGCCACGAAGACGGCTCTTGGAGCCAACCCCACAGCAAATACAATGAAACTGCACAGGACACTCCAGGGATGGACTTAGGTGCCGGTGAACTTTCCACAGGACAATCAGGCATATCCAACACTGCTATTTGCATTGGATACCCCATGCTCAGCTCAGCCCCTCTGCAGGAACGCACTGCAAGAGCCCAAAATACTTGAGCACCAGCGAGTGCGCCGGGGCGTTCGCTGCACATGTGTTTTCCCAGCTCATTTATGGCTCTACAGAGCATCCATGTGTGTGCTTCCCGGGCTCGCAGCACAGCTGTCTGCTCTGGGAACTCGGCTGTAAACATGTGTCATCCCAGYGCTCCCCGAAACTAAATAATGGCAGGAGAGAACAATGCTCTGCATTGAGCCCCTCCGCAGAGCGACCAGTTGCTTGTTTCTCGCAAAAAAGCAGATGTGTAAAAAATTATAAACGGAAAGCACTAAAAGCAACAAGAATGTGTCTTGCTAACACTTTTGGAAGAGAAGGGCACGCGGCAGCTTTGGGAACATGCATGCGCTGCACGGAGCTCCAAGCTCACAGGAGAACAGATGACCCATGGCAGGCAGCGCTGAACGGAGCCTGGCTCGTTTGGGGCAATAGGGAGCCAAAGCTCTTTAATTCATTTTTAAAACGTCCCTCGATCTTCCCTCATTTGTGACCCCACTAAACACCCCCTCTCCCCACACTCTGCCTTCCTCACTGAGCAAACACGGCCACAGTGCTGGAAGGACCATGGAGAAAGAGGCCAAGGGACTATGTGCAAGCAGAAAAGCCTGCACCAGCACCAAACAATTAAAAACCTCATTTTGCAGGGTCACCAATTCRGGAACTGTGTCTGTGCAATTCACAGCTGATCTTTGAAGTCCTTCCCATTCATTTTCCCCACAAAGGGAAGCTCCAGGGTTAGCTTGGAGTGGCTGCTCTCAAACTTCCAGTGAGGTATCGCCAAGCTGACCTGCGTTATCCCATGTATTAATAAAACAAAACACCCCCAAATGAGTGGATACTGTGATGCTATGGATTTGGGGGAAAAAAGGGAAACCCAAAACCAACCATCTTATGTGGACACTGGAGCCCTGTTAATTTAGTGAGTGCAAGATCCAGCATCAAGCCAATAAAGCACATGAAGCAGCAGTCGTATTAAGCTACCTGGTGTCAGGCAATGGAATTTAGTTAGTGAGGTTGTTGGCACCAAGAGGAGTTTACACTTGAAACAGAGTTTTGCTTTGCTCCTACTAAGAGCACAACTGAGCSGGAAAAGGGGAGAGAAAAAGGCCTGTTTGGTCAAAACAACCTGTGAATTCGAGGTCTCTACAGCTCGGACAATGCCAAAAGCTGAACCAATAAAGACTTGAAAAATGAACCCTGCTGCACTAACCTCCTTTTCTTACTCCTCCTAAGGCAGTCATCTTCACAACTGTAGCTCATGAAAGGGCATGCTCCTATCCCAGCGCGCAYAGACCACAGCACGCGGCACCCTTCATCAAGGGCACTTTGTTACAGGGAAGTCAGAGCCCTCTTCCCTTCCGCAGGCACCATCAAAAGCTCTGATTAAAGCCCCTGAGAGGCTCTCAAGATAATGTGACAAAATTCACAGCTTTAAACAAAGCCCCCTTGTTCCCAAGCGGGCAGCACGCTGCAAGGCAGCAGATGCTCTTACGGTAGCAATATCTTTTAAAAGAGGAAGAACTGCGAGCTGAAGTACTAGCTACTGAAAACAACCCACAAATGCTTTAAAGGGCTTTTCCAGGGATCTATTTAAAGCATTATTTCCTGACCTAGCACGCATTCCTCACGGACTGTCTTGTCCCTCTCCATCTGCTTAAAAATGTTCATTGTATCAAGGGATGCTGCATATCACTGAATAAAAAACACTCTTCATGCAACACATTCAACTATCAAAGAAAACAAAGAGACTGAAGAGGAAAAAACAGGAAAAGAATGAAACTATGACTGTTACATGAGGATTCTGAATCCAAACTGATTTTCCACTGATGGATCTGAATCAAAACTTAATCA